GCCATTTTACTCTTTTTAAAGATCATATAATAGTTATACATTTTTATCGTGTTGGTCTCCAATTGTTGGCATACACTCCCCTCTTTCACTTTTTTCTGTTTAAATCTAACATTTTTCGTATTTTTTTCTCAGTTCTCTCAATAGTGCTAGCATCTAGCCAATTCCTGCTAAAACATCTGCATTTGATATATCAGAAAGAGCAATCTTGGACATACGAACTAAGATCAAGAACGGACAAGAGTTATGGTGAGGGTTATAGTTTTATACTCTAGCACCACGCAGTTACATTATTCTTTTCTTGTTTGCTTCTGATCGTCCGGCCATGGATCCAACATCTAGAAGAGCTGTCCCCCTTCCAACATCCTAACAGCATACATATGCCCGATCTCAAATTTTTGGACTCCGCTATGTTTCTGAGGGAAAGTCCTGTATTCAACCTAGTTTTTACCTACAACGCATTTTGGGGCACTAACGCTCCACCAAGATTATCTTAGTCAGCTGAAGGCATGAAGCTCAAATTATACTAATTTTTTTGAAAGCAGACTCCCATAATGGATCTCGCAATGTTGATTCTGCACCATAATTAACCATAGAAGTTTCAATGTCGTAAGATTTATTTCCTTATTGTTCTACTGATACCAAAACAACTTTTTATTTTTAAGCATTTGATATATATGGTTGTGTCCAATTCATAGAACAGTCCATCTGCGTCTAAAATTGTTTATAGAAGGAAACACTTAAAAAATCTTTTTAAATGTTTTGTATGAAACTTAGGTATTAATTATCTATTAAGCCCTCTATACTACCAAGCTTGTCGTTTGTCAATAGTGAAAAGGTTCGTACCAGTGATAGTCCGATAGATTGATGCTCTGGTCGACAAACTTCTGAAGCATATGCCTGAAAAGAAGCGAATTTATGAAGAAAACTTAACAGGGACTGGAACAATTTCATCATTGCAAAAGAAATAGTCAATACCTTTATTGGCCCAAGTAAACCGTTCATAGCTCCAAGAAGGAATCTGGTAGCAATTGCCATCCAATAATTTACACTTAATCCAAAGAGGGTGTTAAATATAATCCTGAAATAGAAATGAAACGAAGTAATAAAAATCAAATTCCAGAAAGCCTAAGAACTAGTAAGATTTATTCTTTTGTAAAGAAGGTTCAAAGAAAATAATAAATAAGCAATAAGTAGTGCTGACAATGAAATGAGGCCAATTATTATCACAGGTTTCCTTCCCCATCTATCTGCCAATATTCCCCAAAATACAGAAGTCAAAGCTCTCCCAAACATGAATGCAGCACCTTCAATGTATGAAGAATGGATATTAGTATGAATTTTGTAAAGTTTGAATTGAACAATACTTAGATCTATACAACCTGTTAGAATGTGAACACCATCCTAACAAAGACTTACCGACAAAACCTGCGTAAAACCCAATATCTTCCACTCTTTTGGCGATCTGCAAGTCCCTTATCTGTGACAAATAAAAGTAGAAGAAGTCATTAATAACGTAGATTCTGTAGTATAAACATAGTGCACCAGATCGAAGTAATTATGAGCGACTGCAAATTCATGTAGAAAAAGTTAAGCTTTAAATTCCTAAATGTGAGACATGCGTGACATCAGACAACCAATAATTGGTATGAAAGGTTATGTCCTGGAGCCTTGTGACTGAAATTCATCACTTTCCTAGTGTTGCAATTTCCCATGCAGTATGCTTATCTAGTATTTGGATTTCTTAATGTCGCAATTTGTGATGCGGTATGCATGTCAAATAGGAGGAAAACAAGAAGAATGTAGGCAATAGGACTTCATGCTCTACATTTTATTTATTTATGTAAAAGTAATTTATGTATTTTAGATAGTTCCAGGCATAAGACATCTATGTGAACGACTTCAACAGTTCTGTAGATAGTGTTTGAAGCTAAAATGCATTAACTATCAAAGAAAAGTGATGTAAGATTTTTCAGTTGAATCGTTATTGTTAAGTTCTCTTGTTCATTCCAAAGAAGCTCATTATTCCAACAACCGCAGAAATAAAATGAAGTGCTATACCAAGCACTGTAATGTAAATTGAGCTGAAGAGCGCATACATGAAGTAGAATATAGTCTTATACATACCATGAAGTACAAAAAGGGAAATAATGACGATATCGGTAAACCTGAGAAGTGAAATTGGAAAAAAATAGATTATCGTCAGGCATTATGAAGAAAGAATTACACTCCCAACTATTGCTAAACAAACAAACGATAAGTTACTTAAGCATGAAGCATCACTACAGGATGCTATGAACTTAAACCTCCGACCTCTGCAAACACAAACTGAGCTAACAGCTCAGCATAAAGTCTCAAGATGCAGGAAATTTTGTTGTTTTCCTGTTGAGTAAATTAAATAAAATGGGCTTTTATATGAAGCCTCTAGCTTTTTACTTTTTTATATAAAAATTGATGCCAGATGCTATGAACATGACCTTTGAAAAAAATTTAACTAAAAAAAACTCCACAGCAAGCATCTAGGAGTTACATGCAATGGTTCTTTGTCAATGCCACATAAGCAGTTGCAGGCTTTCACCATCAGAAAAAGGCAGCACATGCAAAGAGACACTAAAATTATAGCAAAAAAAAACAACTCATCTATGAGAAAATGAGCTAGCAATACTGGAAAGTGGAAACTTAAAAAAGAAGAAGACCCTGATGAGGAAACTCAAATTTCCCTCTTTATTTATTTATTGATTATTTTTTCAAGGAAGCATCTCCCCTTACCATTAGACAGACCCTGATGGCCGGTTCCTTTCGTCCCATGGGGACCAAATGGGGAGTCAATTCTGGGCTAATTTGTAAGGATTTATAAGGGATTTGGGTTCCCTCGCTCTAACGACAAACTTTTAGGTTGCATGTATGTTAAACGAAAAGCTTGAAAAGTCATCGAATTTGAGCACCCGAAAGTATTCAAATCCAAACCCCTCCAAAAATGATGGGGTTTTGGTGGGAGTGAAAATTTTGCCATGAAACACTCATTTGAAAGTTATTTTGTGTATGTTTACTTCCCATGTTGGGTCATAAATCACGCTTCGTTTTTCCACAAAAAGACGAAAATATTTTCAAGGGGACGATACTATACAAACTAGCAAACAAATGTAAAAGAAGCAGAAAATCTTTTCTACAGGGACGCACTGATAATCAAGGGGACTCCGCAAAACAAATGGAACCAGCAAAAAAAACTTTAAAAAGAAAAAAAAAAGTAAGGACTAGCTCATGCAAAACTGAAAAAGACCCATAAAAACCTATTCTTTAGCAAAAGAAACAATCAAGAACTCAAAAGATGAAAGTGACCCAGATGAGAAAACTCCCCAAAAATCCCCATTACCAGTAGCCAGAGTGGTGATCCACACAAAGAAGAACTCTTTGTAAGGTAACCCAGAGCTCTCATCCTTTTTCTTATCGATCCTGCAACCTGGGCAGTTCTCAAAGTAAACTTTTTCCAACAATGGCACCTTGCTCTCGTCCCCCATTGCTCCAATTCTCAGTAGCAGTTTTTGTTTCCTTGGGTTTTTTATCTTCTTTTGTTATTTTTTTTATCAGAACCCAGATGGAGATTTTTGGCCAAATGAAGAGAATGGGAGCACTTCAATTGCGAAGTGTATGTTTGTTTGTTTATATACGTCGTTGAGAGAGAAGGAAAGAAATTGATTTTGCTACCTACTGCCTCTGGCTGCTCTCTGTTTTTATCCCTCCTTCCTAGTTTTGTTATATTAATTAATAAATGAGCTGTTAAAAGTGACACAGACGTAGAAACGGGAAGGCCGGTCGGATATCGTTCCGATACCGACGAGCCCTGACAATAGCATGTAGAAAACAAGCTTGAATCCACAAACCCTAGGTTTCTCAAAATTGAGAAGAAAAACAATGGAGAACAATTCTCTTGATTGAACAATTGGAATTATTATTTATAGCCAACTAAACCTATCCTAACTCTAACCAAAAAGAAAGTCTGAATCTAAGGGGGTGTTTGGTTGCATGTTTTTTGAGAAATGTTTTCTCAAAAGTACTGACGCATGGCATTTCTGTAATTAAATATTTTCAATAGATTTTCGTAAACTGTGTTTGGTTCAAAAAAAATTTACATAAATATTTTCTGTAAAGTACATAAAAGTACCAACTTTTATAGAAATCGATTTCCTTCTAAAATGGGCGGAAATCAGTTGGAAATCTGACGCATTCGTTATTTAAATAATAAAACTATTGACACTTTTCTATAAAATTCTCATTTTTCTATAAAGTTGGGGGTGTTTGGTTCAACTTCTACAAATTATAGGAAATGTTGATATTTTCTATAAGGGCCTGTTTGTTTGCCTAAAAAAATTGAAAATCAAAGAAATGGAAAACTATTAAATCAAAGAATTGTTTTGGGAGTGTTTGGTTTGCTAAAAAAAGAAGGAAATCAAAGAAATGAAGATGAGTTGTCACCTTATTATAGGATGATGTGAGTGATTTTTTAAGAAAACTTGTTTTGATGTTGTTTGGTTGGCGAAAAAAATAATAAAATAAATTATAAGAAACATATTTCTTGTAATAGGTTGTTTTCTTTTGCTTGGTTATTTCTTAAAAATAAGAAAATATATGAGATGAGATGAGTTGTCATTATATTATTGGATGATGTGACCCACACTTAAGGAAATTGTTTTCCTAGCTTTTTGGGGGGAAAACAAAGAAATGAAATGTTAATGAGATGAGATGAGTTGTCACAATCTTATTGGATGATGTGAGTAATTTTTAAATATGAGATGAGATGAGTTGTGTGATGTTGTGGATGTGATGGATGAGTTGTTGGATGAAAATAATATTTTATTAGATATGATGGATGAGTTGTTGGATAAAAATAATATTTTATTAGATATTGTGGGTCAGTTTTAGGGATGGAAATGTGTGAAATTGTACTTTTTGAGTTTTCTTGGTTTGCATTTCTATTTTTTGTTTTTTAGGAAATAACCAAACAGCCCCTAAAATTATGAGTCATTTTCTTATTTTGAACCAAACAAGCAAAATATAAAAAATAAGAAAATTTGTACTTTTTAACTTCTCAAAACTTTTCCTATAATTTTTTTAAGAAATACAAGGAAATCATGTTTTGGATGGAAAACATTTCCTATAATTTATAGAAATGTAACCAAACACCCCCTAAAATGAAATAACCAAAAAGGAACTCTTTCCTAATCTAAAAAGAAATAACAAAAAAGAAACTCTTTCCTAATCTAAAAGGAAATAACCAAATATAACTCTTTCCTAATCTAAAAGGAAATAACCCGAAAGGAACTCTTTCCTAATCTGATGTCCGAGTCGACACGAGTGTTTTTCCTCTTGTCTCGTCTAATGCTTGATCTCCTGTATCAGTCCCTCATTCTTTAAAAAAACTCGTCTCTGAGTTCGCATCACTCGAATACAACTTGATTAAAGGATGATAATCAAAAATATCTGTCACGTTAAATATCACAGACATAGTCATTCCTTCTGGAAGATCCACTACATATACATTATCATTGATCTTCTTAAGAATCTTGAACGGTCCGTACCTTTTTGACTTAAGCTTGTTGTATGTTCCAGCTGGCATCCGTTCCTTCCGCAAGTAAATCATCACCATGTCTCCTTCATTGAACACCTTGAATCGCCTCTTCTTGTTCAAGCAATCTGTTATGGGAGCAACTATAGAACTGAAATTGCGAAAGAAACACCGATAAAAAGATGCTAGCTCATGAAAGCTTCTTAATTCCGTAATACTTGTTGGAGTTAGTCAATCCTTGATTGCCTTAACTTTGTCCTCATCAACTTGGATCCCCTACGAGTTTACCACAAATCCCAAGAACACAAGTTGAATCGTTAAGAATACACACTTCTTAAGGTTGATGTAAAGCTCATTCTCCTTTAGCACTTGGAAGACCTCTCGGAGATGCAACATATGCTCCTGCTTATCCTGACATTCGTAGAGGCCCTCACTACTCTTGAATGCAGTCTTCCACTCATCACCGAGTAGGATTCAGATCTGATGATATCCACTCCTCAAGTCAACTTTCGAAAAGGTGCTCATACCTCTTAACTGATCTAATATGTCGTCTAGCCGAGGGATTGGGAACCTGTAACGAATTGTAATCTTGTTAATGGTCTTACTATCCACACACATCCACCAACTGCCATCCTTCTTTGGTGTCAACAGTGCTGGAACTGCGCATAGACTTATACTCTCTCGAACGTAGCTCTTCTTAATGGGGTCCTCAATGGTATCCTGTAAAATCTTTTTCTCATGTGGGTTCATACTATAGTGAGGAATATTAGGAAGCACTGAACCCGGAATGAAATCAATGTGGTGTTGAATGTCTCTCATGGGAGGAAGTCCATCTGGCAGCTCTTTAGGAATCAAAACTTCAAAGTCCTTAAGCAGCGACTTCATCTTCTCTGAGATCTCAATGAGTGTCTTCACTTCTTCCTTCACTACTAAGGCAAAACTCTGCTCTAACTCCTTTGACTCGGCTAGAAAATCTTCCTTGTTACAAAGAGATATATGTTTGGACTTTTGATCTTTAGGGCTCTTTGGAGAGGGTGGAATAGGTGGTAGTATTATCTTTTTATTCATCCACACAAAAGAGTACTCGTTCTTCTTGCCGTCATGCTTAGCGTCAACATCATACTGTCACGACCATCCCAACAATACATGCTACGCGTCTATATCCATAATATCATAAGTAACAGAATCACTATAAGTCTTGCCTAGTGTAGAGTGGAAAATTTGAAGTAAAAAGAATGAAAGAAAAATTGATTTGTATTCTCTCGATCTTAATTATAATTTGAATTCTGATTACAAAAGAGAAGAGAATTAATCTGAATTCTTCCCTTTGTTTAGTTCTGGGTTCTTCACGGTGGTGATGGAATACCTCCTTTGAATGCTCGCATCGAATTTGCTCTTCGTTGACGATCCGAGTATCTCAATTCACTGGAACAGCTGACTTGTGTGGTTGAACTGATCAAGAACTCTTGACGAGCTTTATAACTCAGAACGAGTGACAAACTCTAGTGAAAAAGAGTTGTTTGAATCGAAAATAATTCGGTTGAGAAGCCAAGTATCCAGTATCTGGAAATCTTCAGTTGTTGAAGATTGTTGCCTCCTGATTTTCTCCTCTCCAGAATCCAATCTCCAAAATCCGATCACAGATCTCTTCTTTGCTGCCCCAGAGAAGGATCCGAACTAAGCTAATTTCTTAGTTATTTATAGGGAATTAAGGGATGTAACCGCCCCCTTAATTCGTTCTTAAGTGAGGCTAATGGGATGTAACCGTCCCTTAAATCACTCCTGAGTGGAGTTGTGATCCTCTCAGATCGTGGAAAACGGTTTTAAAACCATTCAGCTCGTGTTTGAACGAGTCAAACGCAAAATTCGCATTCTGGCATGAATTCTGCGTTCAAACGCAGTGTCTGGAAGCTCAGACGCAGCAATTGGAAGCTACGTTGGCAGCGTTAGTAGCTGGATCTGAGCTACGTTTGCAGTGATTTGGAAGCTGCGTTGGCAGCTGGATCTGAGCTGCGTTTGCAGTAATTTGGAAGCTGCGTTGGCAGCTTTCAGAGGCTGTGTTTGCGGTCGAATATGAGCTGCGTTTACAGCGTTTGGAGCTAAATGTGAGTTGTGTTTACACTATGTCAGTGGCTATGAATGCGATGCGTCTTAATGCTGGTACGCGGGGAGGACTTCCTCGTCTTGATTTGAAGAGACCGTCGATTTGTAGTCTCTTTCTGTCAAAGCGTTGCAAAGATCATCATTTTGTAATCTTTGCCTTAGCTCATTGATATGTGAGAGCGTCAAATTGTAACTCCCGATATTGATTGTGAAGGCTATTGATTAGAGCTTTCATCAGTTATTGTGAAGGTCGTCAGATTGTAACCTTCATCGATCTACGTGAAAGTTTCATCAGTTATTGTGAAGGTCGTCAGATTGTAACCTTCATCGATCTACGTGAAAGTCTTCAAATTGTAGTCTTCTGTTGTAACCTTCATCGATCTACGTGAAAGTCTTCAAATTGTAGTCTTCTGGAAGCCGTCGAATTGTAACTTTCATCATGGGGATCAGCTACTGTAGTGATTTTTAGACAGCCTATACCTAGTAATAGTAGTACGCGGCATACTTTGGTCACCTTCACGGAGGGACCCTTCTTGATCCATCCTATGGTATAAGACACAGGCTTTATTTTAGTCAGCAGTTTTAAGTGATCCACCAAAGCCTTTGACACAATATTCTCACAGCTTCCATTGTTAATGATGAGGGTGCATACCTTGTTGTTGACTGAACATCTAGAAAAGAAAATTTGGTGTCGTTGTGATGAATCTGGTGTCTTCTGAGTGCACAGAAGTCGTTGAACAACACACGACACATTGTCGCCTTCAATCTCTGCAACCTCTTCCTCATACTTTTCTTCGGATGTCGTGTGTCCATCATTGGCTTCTTTATAATCCGCTAGATTGACCTTTCGCCGTTGTAGGTACTCGTTGGACTTATGCTCTGGTTGGAGACATCAGAAACACTTCCCTATAGTCGGCTTGGCATACGGATTTGCTTGAGTCGTCGGGGGCTATGGTTGAGTTGTCGACCGCTCGGCCAACCATGGAGGAACAAGCCGATCAGTCGTCCTTTGCCCGACCGACTCGCCTCTCG